TTCTCTATTTCCACTCTGATTATTTTGGGGTCTTAATCATAACAAAGATACTCATTGACTGGACTCACCAAAACACAGAACCAAGGCCTTTAAGCTTGAAGGGTACCAGTGGAATGTGTGTATAATTCAGAGGTGGTATTCAGCAGGTTCTGACCAGTTCTGGAGAACCGGTAGTGGAAATTTTGAGTAGTTTGGAGAACTGGTAAATAATACCTCTGACTGGTCCCGCCCCCATCTATACTCTGCCTCCCGAGTCCCAGCTGATCGGGAGGAAATGGAGATTTTACAGTATCCTTCCCCTGCCTTGCCCACCAAACCACGCCCACCAAGCCATGCCACGCCACACCCACCAAGCCACGCCCACAGAGCCGGTAGTAAAAAAAATCGGAATCCCACCACTGGTGTATATTAGATATACTATATATCAATGGAATCTGTTTATCTCTAGAACCATGTTTAAATGCTCACCCGGAAGAGTATTAAAATCATCAATAAGATACATATGTTCTCTGTCTGGATCAGATGCAATTAGATTCAGCTCACGTAAAAACTCAACTTGTGTTGGGTCTGAAGTATTTACAATGCCAATCGCATACATTTCTATGTTGGCTGCATGAGCTTCCCGGACAGCGATATCCAGCTTAACAGCTTCTCTCTTATCAGCTTGCCCATCGGTTAGGACTATGGCAACTTTCCTTACACCAGTTCGAGCCCCAAAAAAGCCTTCTTGTGTTGCTTTGCGGATGGCAGTTCCTGTGTAAGTGCCTTCTCCCATGTATAGCATCTTTCTGATAGCTTGTTTCACATCCTGTTGGGCTGTGTACCTATTCAGCCCAAATTCGAGCCGAACTTCCAGGCTGTAGAGAACAAGTCCAATTCTAGTAGCATTTCTCCCTACAGTTACTCTGTCTACTAAGGCAGTAACAAAGTCTTTGATTATTTCAAAATTCTCTGGGCCAACACTTTCAGAACTGTCAATCACAAACACTAGCTCCATCGGTATTTCCTTGCATTTAATGCCACAACCTGTAAAAGGGAAATAAAAACAAAACTAAACTAAATACTGAATATTTTTTTTACTGAAAGATCAAACTATATAAGTCTTTCCATGTGCGCTGAACATGAGCATTATTACAATTATAATTCAAACAATATTTTTATGTCATTTTATTCATTCAAAACATTTATACAACCTCCTCCTGATTTTGAAACCTGGGTGGCTTTCAATCCACAATTAAAACTATCAATAATAAAACAACATAATACTTTATTAAATCTATTAATACCATAAATATTAAAAACCTGGCGCCAAAGTTTAACTTCCAACATACTGTTAACCCCAACCAAAGAACGACATATAAAACACCAACGTTTAGTTCTTTACTTGTTTACCCTCCATAGATAGTATCTTTACCACTCTCCCTCTAATGGATCTACCCTGGGAGATTCTAGGGCTGTGATGGCAAACCTATGGCACACGTGCCACAGATGGCACGCAGAGACCTCTCTGTGGGCATGTGCGCCACTGCAAACTGCTCTTCCGGGTTCCGGTGCACGCATGCACATCGGACAGCTGCTCTCTTCCAGGTTCTGGTGCCTCGGCATGCATGTGTCTGCGCTCCAGTTTCGGCACTTGGTGCCAAAAAGGTTAACCATCACTGTTCTAGGGAATGGATATTTGTACTCTCTCCGTCTACCTCTTATCTAGCTCTGGGCTGGGCTGCCTCTTGTCTTATCCCCCTCCTTGGAATGTGCTTCCATGTTTCTCAGTAACTACAGCTTCACTGTAGTCTATCACGCCACCACTTCATTCACAGACACATTCCATCACACATACAGTTCCACATTAAATCCTTTCACCCACCCCTCCCTACACCTGTGCTTGGGGAAAACCCCAAATCTTCAGAGCTTTTCAGATGCCACAGGAGTAACCTGATTGTTGGCATTTTCATTTTATCTTTGAGTAAAGAGTATTCTAATAATTTTCCAATTTGGGGAAAAGAATAAAAACCTGATAGCAAGACAGATTGGAAACTTACCACATATCTCTTTAATTAACTTAATTATATCTTCTCTCTATGTTAGAAAAGAAATACACATATAGTATTACAGATCTGTTTCATTTTCAGCAATTTATAAAACGGCCTTTGCAAAAATAGTGTTTATTATACTTAGAATACTCTCCAATTTTCATGCACTGAAAGTCATCTTATCCATCACCAATACTTAAAATACTTGCAAAGTACTCTTAGAGTTTTAACATTGTTCTTTACATAGAGCCATATAATTCCAAAATGGGGGTGCAACATCTTACAATTCCCCAAGTAAAATATTTCTATGTGAGAAAATCTCTGATCCTCTTGCATTTTGCCAACAATTATTTTACAATATTTTGTAAAATATACAAAAAAATATTTTACTTCAGTTCTCCAGGTATGACACTGTGAACATTTGGATAAAGTGTGTGGGATCATTACTGGGTAGGGAAAACCAATTCTCTCTCTGTCTCAGAGCCGAGGTTGGCTCCAAGCTGCCAGCTGCTGTTATGTATGTACATACACACACACACANAATAAGCAGTTATATTTGTAAAACTATATTTCCAAAAATGCAAATACATTGGTTATTATGAGCATTTTATAATTCACTTGAGCCTATGTTTTACATTAAACAGGCTTGTGTCAATCGAATCATATAATAGCCCTCACCAAATACTGTTTTTAATTCATTTAATAGTAAGATATTTGCTGAGGAATAATGTCCAACCTCCAGTATTCTGTCTCCTGACTGCAAACGACCATCTTTAACGGCTGCACCGCGAGGCAAAATATTCTTTACAAATATAGGGCCAGGACCATGTATGGAGGAGTCCCTGGTGACCACTGTAAAGCCTAGTCCTTCAGGTCCTAAAAAATAGAAGAAGTATATGTAAATATGAGGCAACCATCAACTAACAGAAGACTGTTCTCCAAAGCTTCAATATTTAATATTTACATTAAAAGTGGGCTTGTTTTCAATTAGGTAAGAAGAGTAGGATCCTTTCCTTCTTTTAGTGCTGAATTAAGACACCCTGTTCAGCTTTTCTGCGCGGCAACAAAGTGTCCCTTTCATCTGATTTCTTCACATTCAACGTTATTTCTTTAACATATGCTTGCCCACTTCCATTCTGTGCATTGTTCTTATGTAAAGCAGGCAGTGACTCAATGAATGAGCACGAGTTTTAGTCGCGTATTACATTAGAAGAGGTCAAAAGAACAGGAAAAAAAAGTATCTGGGTGCATTTTCTAATCTGCGTGAAGAATAGGGATTTATTTCATCCCACTTTTATCATTTTTATAAAGGCAGTGAATATACGTAATACTCCTTCCTCCTACTAGTTTCCCCACAACACCCATGTGAGGTGAATTAAGGAGAGAGGTAGACAGAGAGAGGGAGAGGGGGGGGGCAGGCTGACTGACTGACTAACCCAAAATCACTCACTTGGCTTTCATGCTGACGGCGGGATTAGAAGATATAGCCTACTGGTTTGTAGCCTGGTATATTAATCTGTTGTGGCCCAGCAGGAGCCGTTGGAGCTGCCACCAAACTCCGACAGCGAGGGGCCCTATGAGTCGGCTCTGGAGGATGT